TTTGGGGTGTGTGTGTGTGTGTGTGCGGTTGTGTGGTGTGTGTGTGTGTGTGTGTGTGAGGTCATGTGTGTGTGTGTGAGGTCATGTGACGTGTGTGTGTGTGTGAGGTCATGTGACGTGTGTGTGTGTGTGTGACGTGTGTGTGTGGGGTCATGTGACGGGGGTGTGTGTGTGAGGGCATGTGACGTGTGTGTGTGGGGTCATGTGACGGGGGTGTGTGTGTGAGGGCATGTGACGTGTGTGTGTGGGGTCATGTGACGGGGGTGTGTGTGTGAGGGCATGTGACGTGTGTGTGTGGGGTCATGTGACGGGGGTGTGTGTGTGAGGGCATGTGACGTGTGTGTGTGGGGTCATGTGACGGGGGTGTGTGTGTGAGGGCATGTGACGTGTGTGTGTGGGGTCATGTGACGGGGGTGTGTGTGTGAGGGCATGTGACGTGTGTGTGTGGGGTCATGTGACGGGGGTGTGTGTGTGAGGGCATGTGACGTGTGTGTGTGGGGTCATGTGACGGGGGTGTGTGTGTGAGGGCATGTGACGTGTGTGTGTGGGGTCATGTGACGGGGGTGTGTGTGTGAGGGCATGTGACGTGTGTGTGTGGGGTCATGTGACGGGGGTGTGTGTGTGAGGGCATGTGACGTGTGTGTGTGGGGTCATGTGACGGGGGTGTGTGTGTGAGGGCATGTGACGTGTGTGTGTGGGGTCATGTGACGGGGGTGTGTGTGTGAGGGCATGTGACGTGTGTGTGTGGGGTCATGTGACGGGGGTGTGTGTGTGAGGGCATGTGACGTGTGTGTGTGGGGTCATGTGACGGGGGTGTGTGTGTGAGGGCATGTGACGTGTGTGTGTGGGGTCATGTGACGGGGGTGTGTGTGTGAGGGCATGTGACGTGTGTGTGTGGGGTCATGTGACGGGGGTGTGTGTGTGAGGGCATGTGACGTGTGTGTGTGGGGTCATGTGACGGGGGTGTGTGTGTGAGGGCATGTGACGTGTGTGTGTGGGGTCATGTGACGGGGGTGTGTGTGTGAGGGCATGTGACGTGTGTGTGTGGGGTCATGTGACGGGGGTGTGTGTGTGAGGGCATGTGACGTGTGTGTGTGGGGTCATGTGACGGGGGTGTGTGTGTGAGGGCATGTGACGTGTGTGTGTGGGGTCATGTGACGGGGGTGTGTGTGTGAGGGCATGTGACGTGTGTGTGTGGGGTCATGTGACGGGGGTGTGTGTGTGAGGGCATGTGACGTGTGTGTGTGGGGTCATGTGACGGGGGTGTGTGTGTGAGGGCATGTGACGTGTGTGTGTGGGGTCATGTGACGGGGGTGTGTGTGTGAGGGCATGTGACGTGTGTGTGTGGGGTCATGTGACGGGGGTGTGTGTGTGAGGGCATGTGACGTGTGTGTGTGGGGTCATGTGACGGGGGTGTGTGTGTGAGGGCATGTGACGTGTGTGTGTGGGGTCATGTGACGGGGGTGTGTGTGTGAGGGCATGTGACGTGTGTGTGTGGGGTCATGTGACGGGGGTGTGTGTGTGAGGGCATGTGACGTGTGTGTGTGGGGTCATGTGACGGGGGTGTGTGTGTGAGGGCATGTGACGTGTGTGTGTGGGGTCATGTGACGGGGGTGTGTGTGTGAGGGCATGTGACGTGTGTGTGTGGGGTCATGTGACGGGGGTGTGTGTGTGAGGGCATGTGACGTGTGTGTGTGGGGTCATGTGACGGGGGTGTGTGTGTGAGGGCATGTGACGTGTGTGTGTGGGGTCATGTGACGGGGGTGTGTGTGTGAGGGCATGTGACGTGTGTGTGTGGGGTCATGTGACGGGGGTGTGTGTGTGAGGGCATGTGACGTGTGTGTGTGGGGTCATGTGACGGGGGTGTGTGTGTGAGGGCATGTGACGTGTGTGTGTGGGGTCATGTGACGGGGGTGTGTGTGTGAGGGCATGTGACGTGTGTGTGTGGGGTCATGTGACGGGGGTGTGTGTGTGAGGGCATGTGACGTGTGTGTGTGGGGTCATGTGACGGGGGTGTGTGTGTGAGGGCATGTGACGTGTGTGTGTGGGGTCATGTGACGGGGGTGTGTGTGTGAGGGCATGTGACGTGTGTGTGTGGGGTCATGTGACGGGGGTGTGTGTGTGAGGGCATGTGACGTGTGTGTGTGGGGTCATGTGACGGGGGTGTGTGTGTGAGGGCATGTGACGTGTGTGTGTGGGGTCATGTGACGGGGGTGTGTGTGTGAGGGCATGTGACGTGTGTGTGTGGGGTCATGTGACGGGGGTGTGTGTGTGAGGGCATGTGACGTGTGTGTGTGGGGTCATGTGACGGGGGTGTGTGTGTGAGGGCATGTGACGTGTGTGTGTGGGGTCATGTGACGGGGGTGTGTGTGTGAGGGCATGTGACGTGTGTGTGTGGGGTCATGTGACGGGGGTGTGTGTGTGAGGGCATGTGACGTGTGTGTGTGGGGTCATGTGACGGGGGTGTGTGTGTGAGGGCATGTGACGTGTGTGTGTGGGGTCATGTGACGGGGGTGTGTGTGTGAGGGCATGTGACGTGTGTGTGTGGGGTCATGTGACGGGGGTGTGTGTGTGAGGGCATGTGACGTGTGTGTGTGGGGTCATGTGACGGGGGTGTGTGTGTGAGGGCATGTGACGTGTGTGTGTGGGGTCATGTGACGGGGGTGTGTGTGTGAGGGCATGTGACGTGTGTGTGTGGGGTCATGTGACGGGGGTGTGTGTGTGAGGGCATGTGACGTGTGTGTGTGGGGTCATGTGACGGGGGTGTGTGTGTGAGGGCATGTGACGTGTGTGTGTGGGGTCATGTGACGGGGGTGTGTGTGTGAGGGCATGTGACGTGTGTGTGTGGGGTCATGTGACGGGGGTGTGTGTGTGAGGGCATGTGACGTGTGTGTGTGGGGTCATGTGACGGGGGTGTGTGTGTGAGGGCATGTGACGTGTGTGTGTGGGGTCATGTGACGGGGGTGTGTGTGTGAGGGCATGTGACGTGTGTGTGTGGGGTCATGTGACGGGGGTGTGTGTGTGAGGGCATGTGACGTGTGTGTGTGGGGTCATGTGACGGGGGTGTGTGTGTGAGGGCATGTGACGTGTGTGTGTGGGGTCATGTGACGGGGGTGTGTGTGTGAGGGCATGTGACGTGTGTGTGTGGGGTCATGTGACGGGGGTGTGTGTGTGAGGGCATGTGACGTGTGTGTGTGGGGTCATGTGACGGGGGTGTGTGTGTGAGGGCATGTGACGTGTGTGTGTGGGGTCATGTGACGGGGGTGTGTGTGTGAGGGCATGTGACGTGTGTGTGTGGGGTCATGTGACGGGGGTGTGTGTGTGAGGGCATGTGACGTGTGTGTGTGGGGTCATGTGACGGGGGTGTGTGTGTGAGGGCATGTGACGTGTGTGTGTGGGGTCATGTGACGGGGGTGTGTGTGTGAGGGCATGTGACGTGTGTGTGTGGGGTCATGTGACGGGGGTGTGTGTGTGAGGGCATGTGACGTGTGTGTGTGGGGTCATGTGACGGGGGTGTGTGTGTGAGGGCATGTGACGTGTGTGTGTGGGGTCATGTGACGGGGGTGTGTGTGTGAGGGCATGTGACGTGTGTGTGTGGGGTCATGTGACGGGGGTGTGTGTGTGAGGGCATGTGACGTGTGTGTGTGGGGTCATGTGACGGGGGTGTGTGTGTGAGGGCATGTGACGTGTGTGTGTGGGGTCATGTGACGGGGGTGTGTGTGTGAGGGCATGTGACGTGTGTGTGTGGGGTCATGTGACGGGGGTGTGTGTGTGAGGGCATGTGACGTGTGTGTGTGGGGTCATGTGACGGGGGTGTGTGTGTGAGGGCATGTGACGTGTGTGTGTGGGGTCATGTGACGGGGGTGTGTGTGTGAGGGCATGTGACGTGTGTGTGTGGGGTCATGTGACGGGGGTGTGTGTGTGAGGGCATGTGACGTGTGTGTGTGGGGTCATGTGACGGGGGTGTGTGTGTGAGGGCATGTGACGTGTGTGTGTGGGGTCATGTGACGGGGGTGTGTGTGTGAGGGCATGTGACGTGTGTGTGTGGGGTCATGTGACGGGGGTGTGTGTGTGAGGGCATGTGACGTGTGTGTGTGGGGTCATGTGACGGGGGTGTGTGTGTGAGGGCATGTGACGTGTGTGTGTGGGGTCATGTGACGGGGGTGTGTGTGTGAGGGCATGTGACGTGTGTGTGTGGGGTCATGTGACGGGGGTGTGTGTGTGAGGGCATGTGACGTGTGTGTGTGGGGTCATGTGACGGGGGTGTGTGTGTGAGGGCATGTGACGTGTGTGTGTGGGGTCATGTGACGGGGGTGTGTGTGTGAGGGCATGTGACGTGTGTGTGTGGGGTCATGTGACGGGGGTGTGTGTGTGAGGGCATGTGACGTGTGTGTGTGGGGTCATGTGACGGGGGTGTGTGTGTGAGGGCATGTGACGTGTGTGTGTGGGGTCATGTGACGGGGGTGTGTGTGTGAGGGCATGTGACGTGTGTGTGTGGGGTCATGTGACGGGGGTGTGTGTGTGAGGGCATGTGACGTGTGTGTGTGGGGTCATGTGACGGGGGTGTGTGTGTGAGGGCATGTGACGTGTGTGTGTGGGGTCATGTGACGGGGGTGTGTGTGTGAGGGCATGTGACGTGTGTGTGTGGGGTCATGTGACGGGGGTGTGTGTGTGAGGGCATGTGACGTGTGTGTGTGGGGTCATGTGACGGGGGTGTGTGTGTGAGGGCATGTGACGTGTGTGTGTGGGGTCATGTGACGGGGGTGTGTGTGTGAGGGCATGTGACGTGTGTGTGTGGGGTCATGTGACGGGGGTGTGTGTGTGAGGGCATGTGACGTGTGTGTGTGGGGTCATGTGACGGGGGTGTGTGTGTGAGGGCATGTGACGTGTGTGTGTGGGGTCATGTGACGGGGGTGTGTGTGTGAGGGCATGTGACGTGTGTGTGTGGGGTCATGTGACGGGGGTGTGTGTGTGAGGGCATGTGACGTGTGTGTGTGGGGTCATGTGACGGGGGTGTGTGTGTGAGGGCATGTGACGTGTGTGTGTGAGGTCATGTGACGTGTGTGTGTGTGTGTGACGTGTGTGTGAGGTCATGTGACGTGTGTGTGTGTGTGAGGTCATGTGATGTGTTTGTGCGTAGATGAAGCAGACGAGCTGGTGGACGCCATCACAGCCACGAAAGAGAGCGTTCAGTATGACCATCCCAACCACACCGTCACCGTGACGACCATCAGCGACCTCGACCTATCAGCAGACAGATTACTGGAGCCAGAGCAGGTGACCTTCACTGTCCAATCAGCTGCTCGCTAATGAACGAGGTTAGACCGCTTAACAGTGTGTGTGTCGTTTCTGCAGAGAAATGAAGAGCGTGAGGAGGAGAAGGATGGTGAAAAAATACAGGCCCTCCCGAGGACAGCTGGACACCCCCTCATGTCTGAAAAGTACTGACTGATTGATTAATATTGATCCGTGTTGAATCAGAATGTCACTTGACTCCTGAATGATTCGTTCGAGGAGTCGTGTCTGATTCATTATCTGTGTCTGCAGGATCCAGAGGCTCACGGCGTCACTGAACAGTCTCTCTAAACAGAAGAAGAAGAGGAGGAAATGGAAGCCCAAAGAGGAAATGAGGCAGGGAAACCATCAGAGCGACTGGAAGTCGTCATCATTCACTCACAACAAGAAGTTGCGGAAGGCAAAATCCACCAAAGCACAGAGACGCAAATGGACGGGCCAGAACGAGCGCAACCAGGACTGATGAACGCCAGACTCGCGGGAGAATAGTAGCGATTAGTCGCCCGGCGCAGCGCTAAACTCACGAACTCTCGACTGATGCGACGCTGATGTGTTTGTGTTTTACATGTTTGATGCTTTAAGGACATTAAAAAAGGAATGTTTCATCATACTGTGTTGTACTTTCATTGCCACTTCAGAGTAAAGCTCGTTCACAACAGGAACAACGATAACTATAATAATAACAGTACAATAATAATTATAATGGGAACTGTAATGATAATGATACATATAATACCAAAAATAAGTGTAGCGATAACGGTAATAATGAACGTTAATGATGACTAGTGTTGTCAAAAGACTGGTACTTCGGTACCAAGTCGTTACTAAAAAATGAAAACATTACGGAACCAGGTTTTTTTAAGTACCGGTGGAACCGAGTACCCCGTCGACCCGGTTCTTGATGTGCTACTCGAAAGGTGCGCAGATGCGCTCTCTTCATAAAAGCACTGAGACGCGGCTGCCTCAAAACGAGGAAATGCACCAAACTAACAAAACACTTTAAAGACAGACACCCAGATCAAATGAAAGAGTTCAAGCAGGTACGTTTCATTTTAATTTTTATAAGCTTATTGGTAGATTAATTTCTATCACTTAGTATTGCCAAAAGACCTGGTACTGTGGTACCAAGTCGGTACTAAAAAAATGAAAACATTACGGAACCAGGTTTTTTTAAGTACCGGTGGTACCGAGTACCCGGTCAACCCGGTTCTTGATGTGCTACTCGAAAGGTGCGCAGATGCGCTCTCTTCATAAAAGCACTGAGACGTGGTGACAACAAAAAGAGGAAACACACCAAACTAACAAAACACTTTAAAGACACCCACATCAAATGAAAGAGTTCAAGCAGATACGTTTCATTTTAATTTTTTATATTTAGATCTTCAGTGTTTCCCATCCATTGATTTATTTGTGGCGGCCCACCACAATATCCAAATTGACCACCACAAATAGATTTTCCAAAAGGCTTGGACTTTGTTGAATAAACATGAGCACTGCATGTGTCAAAGTCGAAACCCGGTGCGGGTGTTTTTATATCACTGTATTTTTGAAGGAAACCTACTGTCTTCAGAAAATGATGGATGTCGTTTTCATTGCATCTTGCCTGTAATGCCTGAGCAGCCTTTGTGAGCTGAGCGCTGCTTTGTGTACAACTGTTACCGGGTAAACCTCTATCTCTCCTGCTCTACAAGCACCTCCTGCTGGCAGAGAATTAATTTGCATATATATGCCGCCACAAGTAGAGTGCAAGACAAGTCTGTGGGAAACAACGCTTCTGTTATGAATATTATTCAATATTTTAATTTGAATGTCGGACTGAAATGAACACTGTTAGAGTAGTTAATTGTTAGCATAATGCTAATATAATCTATAATAACCCTAATATAATGAGCAGTAGTATGAAGTTTCTTTATTAACTATTTAATGTTCCTATAACTTTTATTAGGGTAAAAAAAAAACAGGAGGACATGATATTTACTATTTTTACACACCA